CAAATAACTCCTGTAAAAAAGGAAGAAGGAGATGATAATAGGCCTTGTACGTCACTACGGATGTACTCAGGTCAACGAGATCAAAAAAAGTACTTTTAAAGCAGTAAAGCACTTTTACTTTGTTACGGGATGCATGTTTTAACATTTTTGAGCAATACATTTGTAATTTAATCAATACAAATGCTTAATGTTCCTGAGACATCGCCAGGGAAACAGGTAAATGTCAGACCCTCCACAAACTAAGCTACACATTGCTGCTTTAATACATAAATGAATAATATAATTGCACCCCAAAATAAGCAGGGGGCGATCAAGATCAAGGTTCATCTTTTAGGCAATGTCAATAGTCTTCAGTGTGCCCTTACAAGACGGAGTAGAGTGGCGACCTTGTCTTTAATAATAGATAAACGCAGACATGACATGAGGAAAAAGTGAAGAAGCACCTCAACAGAAGTGGTCAGCGCAAAGAGGTGTCTGCCGATGTAATAGCTGGAGCGAAGATGGTCGAAACACGAGAGAAGTGCATTACGGCGCAACTGGGAGAAAATGTGGCGATTTTTAGATGGTTGGAGATATAGAGAGGAGCCTAATGAGGAAAAATGGCCGAGACAGACGTGGAGAGGAGAGGGGAGGGAGCGAGAGAGGGAGTGATGGAGAGAGGGAGGGAAAGAGTGATGGAGGGAGAGGGAGGTGAGGGACTTGTGGGCTTCGTTGGCGCTCTGATGAAGGACCTGTCGAATCCGGCGCACACACAAAAACATACATTGTACAGTGCATGGGTGACTTTGAAGCGAGGCTAAAGCTGCTGATAACGTGGGTTTTTCAGAGCCAAGGTCAGTGAAGAAGGGTTTAGTGTCTCGTCTTTTTCTCTAATTTATTTATATTTTTTTATGATAGTTTGAGACCTGCTGAAAAGGGTGAGGGATTTATTTTAACAAGTTCATAGTTTGAGCAACAAAAATATACAAATAAACACTGCTAGAAAAAAACACAGATTCACTTATTTCTGTTAAACAAAATTCATCTCAAATCTGTATCAAAATTATTACTTCTACTACCTCAAAATCTGCGCAAAATACTTACTTTTTTTTTTTTTACTTACTTACTTTTTACTCTTTAAGTACATTTTAAAACTGGTACTTTTACTCCTGTGGATTTTTCATGCAATATTTTTACTTTATTTAGTTTATTTCTTTGCTCTGTTATCTGCACTTTTACTTAAGTCACAAAATGTTGTTATTTTTTTTAAAATGTGTGCCTAGAGTAGAAAATAAATGTATCTCACACAGATTTTGAGCTCTAATGAAGCTTCAAATGTATGAGTTTTAGTACATATCAGGTAGAATTTTGTCCAGCAGAAACAATTAAATTAGTAATTTTTTCCTAGCTGTTTTTAGTTTTTGTATATTTTTTGTAAACATGAAATCTTACTCTGCTCCTCTCCAGATGTGTGTTCACTTTACAACAATGAGTTTCCATATATTGGAGCTTCTAGTGTTTTCGTTAAGTGATAAACAAATGACTTTTAATACTCCCTGTCCTATTTGAGCACATACAGCAGCCACGAGTTTCATGTACTTTTGCCTTGTGTGTATATTCTCAGTACCAAGGGTTCATTTGTACACACGCCTATCTACTCATTATCATAAACTATAAATATTGATGGCTTTCTTTTGGCTTTCTTTTCTTTTGTCGCAAAGATGTAACATGGAACATCCTGATGCTATAAACCTTCTTTCACGTAACTATTCATCTGGCTACGGAGTCAATTCTTATCAACCACGTTCTTCTGATAACATTTTTGTTTGCTCAAACTCCTCAGCGGATCTTAAAAAAGAATAATGCACTTTTCAGTCCAGTTAAAAAATGTAGTGGAGTAGAGATACCTGCTATGAAATGTAATAAAGTCAAAGTGAAAATGTACCAGCTACGGTGCTTTAAAGGTGCATTGTGTAACTTTTCTGGTGCAGGGTCTATCAAATGCTTTTCTTCTTTGTCTGGAATGTTTCACAGTACGGACATTAAACCTTTTCTGTCATCATGGAGACGAAACTAGACCAAGTTACAGGTCAGATATGTGGAGAGGCAACCCCGCTCACAGTAAGAATGCCTGTTTTTCAAGGTATTTTTGAGTTATAAAACCACCGGTAATTGAATAAATATGAAGTAGAGCTGTTTAATGTCATACTGTGGAACATTCCAGACAGAGCAATTACATCTCCACAGAAACTTACATAGTGCACCTTTAAAAAAATATATATATATTTTATGTGACATACAGTTGAATCTCACTAATGCTAAATGTCAGAAAGTATAGAAGAAAACAGCAAACAGGCTTTAACTCTAAATTAAATCACAAAATCTATTTACAAAACATGTAAGCAAACAGCCTTCCATCTGTACTCAGCTCCAACGCGTATTACATCTGATATTTGTGTGGTATGCCATGTGTATTAAAAGTGCATTAGTGTCTCCACAGTTTAAGAGTGCTATGACTTAATCCCAGAGGAGAGAGACGGAGAGAACAGTATGGCCACCCAATGGACCATATACATAAGCATGGCTGCATTTAAATGGCCCTTCTCTCCATTAATTTCTCTATTGATCTCTTTAAGGAAATGGCTCAGACCCAATGAATGAGGATATATGCAACTATAGCAAAATCCCAGAGGAGACGTCCGTTATGGATTATAAATCAGCTTGACTTTAAGGCTATTTTTAACTGTGATGGTCTGATGGTACAAATTTGCACAAAGTCACTGCCACTCACATTAAATACAAGATCAGAACTGTTCAAAGAAGTTAAAACATACATTTACAGATCTTTATTGGATATGGTCAGGGAATTCATGTTGCAAAGATAAAACAGAAGATAATTGAAAACCGGGATCAGTTCATTCGAGGAAAAAGTTGTGCTTAATTTTTTGGTACATATTGCCTGGCCCTATGTAAATAAATATGGTAGTGTTAATTTTAGGTTGGCTTAAAGGGCCCATATTGTGGTATTTTCTGATCCATGTTATAATCTTGTTTCCTCATCACCCCAAATTGTGTTTTGTTTCATTCGCACATGTTTAACACACAAACCCTGCATATTTAGGCTGAGCTCAACGGTGTTTTTAAACTCTATTCACCTTCACTAGAATCATTTCAATATCCTGGTATTGCCAAGAAGAAAAAGTAAAAGGTAAATGTTACTTCAAATCGCTTCATGACATCTCAATTTGGAACAGAACATTTTGAGATTTAGAGATGCAGAAAGATTGATAATGCTGGGTTACTCAAACAAGAAACAAAACACAACTGCATGAATGTTTTTGATGAGGTAAAAACATTATAACATGGCTAAATGCTCACAGTAGTCAAAATTGGACAATATAGACTCTTTAAGCTAAATCCTGTATACTGTATGATACAACAGTGAAAGACAACAGGTTCCCATTGTAAGTATTTGATGCAAATGCAATAGCAGAGCCTCCCTCCATCTCAGGCTTTCTGCTGGAAGTTTCATGAGAATGTGCCGGTGAAGGTTGGCCGATGCTAAAGGGCACAGATAGATCAGAACCACAGTGTCATTGTTCTGGAGCTTGTAAGTCACTGCTGAACCAAAGTCCGTCCTGTGACCTCATTAGGACCGTAAATCTGCTCCTGATGGAACTCAAAGGAGCCTACAGAGTTCACTCCTGCTGCAAGCCTCACCCCGGGCTCTCACCCGCTCTAATCACAATGACATTGATCAAGAAGACGACAGCTTTTACCATCAAGACCACCAGAAAGATGAACAGGAAGCCATACTGCCATTACGCTACTGTCAAACTGCTGTTAAACTAAGAGACATGTAGGCAATATTAACAAAACTGAGAAACACAATATTTAGATGCTTCTGGAAATGAGAAGCAGAGTATCGCATTTTTCAGACTATAAGGCGCAATTAAAATCCTTTAATTTTCTCAAAAATCAACAGTGTGCCTTATGTATTAATTCTGGTTGTGCTTACTGACATCGAAAGGATTCTATGTGGTACACGGCACTCAAAAATCTGTCTAAATGTTTTAGTACGACTTTGTTAACCTACGAAACCGCACCTCTTCATGGATTCACGGAGTGTTACAGCTACTGTAGTCAGGAGCCTCGCAGAGTACGTCAGACAGAAGCTGACGCATCAGTGCACAAGGAGTGAGCTGTTTTTTCAGCGCTTATAGTTTATGAAAATCAGCCATGTGGTTTTAAGTTTTGTTTCTGTGCGCAAAGCTGCATTAAACACATTATTACTCAATGTATATTTGAGTCGTCCTAAATTATCCACCCACATTCACATTCATAATACACATTCACCAAGACAGAGAGGCAACACCGGGTGAGTTACGCCATGATCTGCCAATGGATCGTGGACGCCTACGTCTAAGGTTTCAGTCTCAAGTGTCGTCAATTTATTTCGCTTAACGTAACTTATAATCTGGTGCATTGTGTGTATGAAAATAGATGAGAGAATTCACATTTACTGATACTGCTCCTTATAATCTGGTGCTCCTTTTAGTCCAAAAAATACAGTATATAATTTTTAGTGAATGAATTCCAAAATTCCATATAAAGTGCTTATCAGCTTATAACCTACAACAATTTTATGTGCAACTATACTACTATACTATATTCTACTTTTAAAATATACAATATACTTCCTGATCTTGTCCGATTTCAGAAGCTAGGCAGGCTGGACCAGCTTAGTACTTGGAGGAGAGACATGTTTGGAATTCCATGTGCCACAGGGGGGCGCCGGTGGCAAAAACTGTTGTTATGGTGGATGGGTTGTGTTGGTGGTGATCAGAGGGGCAGATGGCACAGATTGGCAACAACGCTTCAGTCAGTTTGCCCTAGGGCGGCTGTGGCTACAACAGGAACTCACCACCAATGAGTGTAGAGTGAATGAATAATGCATGAAATTGTGAAGTGACTTTGAGTCTGTAAAAGACTACTGCATTATTACTGATATTATTACATACCTTTGTAGTTGATCTTGAATCCTATCGACCCCACACTCTCGTCTGTTTGTAGATGGAGCCACATTTGATGGGTCATGCTCACAATCAAGTCGGGAACAAAACTTCCTGAAAGACTGGTCCAGAAAAACAAAAACTCAATGAGTAATTTTCAGAATTAAAGATGTACTACTTGGCTTTCCTGCTGTAGGTCCACCAACGGCTTATCTGCTTGGAGAATATCTCACAGTGCTTACACCATACTGTGGAACATTGTGCATTGTGGATACGCACAAGTAGGTGGCAGACACCCATCAGAAAAGCTCCTTTTGCTATAAGTAAATGTCAATTTTTAACATTGCCATTACATGACAAGTGTATATGAAATTTCATTTAATTTTGAGACAAGCTGGTTGAACAGTGACAGAGAGTGCCAATTGAGCCAAATTGAATCAAAATCAGCCACTTTGTAAAGGTTGTGCACGTGTGATGCTTTTGGGCACCACTGAGCCTTTTTTAAAAGTCAAGAACAGTTAATCTTTTTAAGTGGCTCATGCATAACACTCACTGCTGTTTTTACGATCCGTCTAATTGCGAGACAGGGCTTTAAAACTACGCAGGCAGCTGACAGCGTACACCACCAGCAGAATCAAAAATGGACCGCATTCAAATTTACAAGTGGATAGGAGTATTTTTGACATGTTAAATGCATAATAAAATGCCAGAGTCGTATCAGGGCAGCTGTTCTCTTTAGGGTTTTACATCTCATCTAGAGTGATGGCAGTTGTAATACTCACACTTGTAAAATGGTGGTGGGATCTCCGACTTCACCTCCGTCTCCAATAGTGAGAGTGTCATAGGCGATCTCCAGGTCAAATTCTTCAAAGTTGATCTGAATTACCTGCAGTTCAAACACAAACACGCAGCTGTCAGCGTGATGGATGGAAGTGCATTACATTTATCATTGGGAGCTCAAGGATCATGTTAATCTATATGATAATATTACTGCAAAAGGGCAGTAGACATTTCAAATCATACATTATAGATGCCAATAGGCCATGCAAACAGCAGACGGTACAGACCAGGGCTTGTGTAAAGAAAAGCATAGAAAGCAGAAACGAGAAAGTCTGGATATACTAAAATATGATTTAAAGAAATAAAGAAATATAAATTTACACATAATTTTCACATTTAAAAGTCAGTGTTAAAAGGAACTGTCAGTCCAATCCATGTGACTTCTATTGCACATTTTATAAACAAAAACTGTGCTGCACATAGACAAAAAAAAAATCTACAATTAAATAGAACAAAAAACTACAAGAGTAAAAACTAATAAAACAGGTGTGCCTACTGTATAACTTCATAAATATAACCTCACTGTTTCTCCACAGATGAGGCAGACAAAATCAAATAGCTCTAGACTTTGGTATTATCTAACAGACCTGTTTGTTTGTAAGAGTAACTCTTCTGAAGGTGAGTGCAGACAAGAATCTTGTTCAGGTAAACAAACTCACTGGTTTGTTCGATGAAACCAAAGCATTTAGAAAAAGATCTCTTTGAAATGCAGCTCTTACTGATCAATAGTAATCAATAGTAATCTGGATTTATTCATAATTACAAAAAACACTGGACATGCTTGTTGCTTTTGTTATATTTCATCCAGTCATAATGTGAGTTTCTCAGTTGGGTTGTCAGTTTCAGTGCTGACATTCAGTTTGATACAGTTGGTTTAAACCTAATAGGACTTTCCCGGTACTGAATAGTCATCACTAAACCCCAGCACCTTCATCGAATCATCAGTACAGTCCTATTGAATCTATTAAATCCTATTATACCTGTGCATGCTACATACATTTCATCACATCCATACAGTGTAGCATTTGCGGCACACATACTAAAAACAAAACAATGAAGTCCTAGATGCTCTAAAAACCCAATAAATTAATCATATTCTCGGATGTAAGGCAAGCACCAGCAGTCTCCATAACAACATCACTTTTTTTTTTTTTTTTTTTAATTCTATCTACTCTGACCAAAAAAAAAAAAAGGAAAAATGACGAAAGCAGTGTCATGTGCTCTACAAACCCCTGATCAGGAATTATTAAATTTAATCTTCCTGTTTCATCTCTGACCAAAAAATGGAACACAGTTTGGCAGCGACAAAAAGCAAAAGGGAGGGCAAGAAAAGAGACAGAGGCAGATGGAAAAGAGGGAGGAGAGCGGGCGGAGGTAACAGGACACATCCGCTTATAATGAGTGGGTCTTTGATGAGAGCGCTGAAAAGATTGCAAATATTTCAAACCAGATTTCTGACTTGCCCCTTGGGGATGACTGCCCTTCCCCCTCAACTCTGCAATCTCTCTGTTTGGTCTTTGGAGGACTGTCTTGTTTCCCAATGCAATATTCTGCAAAGGAACATCAAAAACTCCAGTCTGAGCAGTGGAGAATCGAGCTGTATTTGTGTGCATATATTTTGACATATGAGTTTTTGCATTCACACATTCTCTTTGAGACACACATCGTCAATGCAGTCTGTTCGTTTCAAGTTCTCAAACCTGAATTTCTAGGGACAGGGTCAGGCCAGAGCAACAAGAAAACAGGACCAGGATCAACTCATTTGTAGTCGAGAATTTCTCCTAAACTCTTTTTGATTTTTCAGAATGAATAAATAATACATTACTAACAAGTAAATTCAGTATAAAACAAGAAAATCCCTCACAATAGTAGCAGCAGAAGAAAGCCCTTTGGTATAGTTATTATAATGGTAGTTATTCTGTCTTTCAGATTTTATCTAGTTAATTTTAATGCATATACTTTTATTTTGAAATCTGTGCTTTTATTTTGGAACTCCACACCAGTTTGAAAATACGTGAGAGATATGAGAACAGTAACAAAGGGTCAACAAAACGGACTTATACCGCTAAAAATCAAACTTTGTGCACCCCTACGTTTGTACATTTAATTTGGGTAATTTCAAGGGTATATAAATTACTTAAAAAAACAAAATTGTAAGTTAAAAATGTTATTTAAAGCAGTCAGCTGTTATTTATGTTATTTTCTTTGTGTCATGCATGCTCATATAATATGCTTATGATAAAAAAAAAAAAAGGATCTGATTTTGTGATAAATTCATGTATTTATTTTCATGTATTCTTATATAAGCCAACTTTTATGGGCAATTTGTTGTAACTGCTTTACTACAAGTTACTGAGCTCTTAATATCTGTACTGGAATGTGAAATTATTAAGAGATCTCTGTTTGTATTTTTGTATTTTCTCTTGCAGTTTCACTCTGCATTCATAAGATGAGCATCAAATCTGAAAACTACAACAACTGTCTCGTCATTGAATCAGAGTTTCGCTCACTGTCAAGCTGGAACTGCTGCTGGAACTTCTAAGTGAGGACAGTACAGTAGTAGTGCCAGTTCATATTTTGTCCTTGGGCAAGACACTTCATCCACCCCGTCTGTTAATGACTCTGTGCTTGATTGTGCGTCTACTAATATGATCAATGTTGTTTCCTCATCATTCACGCATGTTTAACACACAAATCCTGCAAATTTAGGCTGAGTTCAGGAAGTGCTCTACTGTGTTTTTAAACTCCGTACACCTTCACTAGAATAATTTGTATGATTTCAAGCCTGGAATTGCAAATCTCTACTGAAATAAAGGTAAAATGTAGCTGTTAACTTGAAAACTACCGGTTTATTTTGAGCTTTGGGGATGTTAAGAGACTAATAAAGCAGGGTTACTCAAACATGTGTGATGTGATCTGAAATAAAACACAACTCCTTGTATATTTTTGAGGAGGTAACAGCATTAAAACATGGCTTAAAACTCACAAGAATCAAAATTACATAATATATGGCCTTTAACAACTTCTTGGGGCCTTAACCAAGTAAGCGTAGGAGTAAAAAACTATCTATTCAAAGCTATACTTACAAGAAAAAACTGCATTAGACTGCATTTAGACAAGGATTCATTTACATTTCTCCCAGTAAAGTAAGTAAATAAAGACAAAGTAGGATAAGTGTGCGTGCCGGTCGTCTGGAGATGCCCTGAAAATACTAGAATGAGGAAAAGTGGAGATGAAGCTCCTGTGGCTCAGTGCTGACTCAGAGTTATCGGCGTGTTGGGATACAGATTGGATTAAAGCATTACCTGCGAAACCTGCAAAGTCTGGCTGGCAAAAGATGCAGACACATTGTTTCCTTGGGCACATTACACACTCAGAGACAGCAGCAGCTTTATAGAGATTTATGTGTCTATTTGTGTAATTAGCCGCCACCCTTTTCACACCATATTTTCATAAGCTCAAGGCAGTGTTTCTTTCCCAGCAGCACTACGCCAGAGGAATATACTGACGAAACTAACATGCAGATTACAGGCACTGAGGTTGTGTGTTTTATTCCCAAAACCTCTGACTTCTTTTTCTCCTCCAACCAACGAAAAGTACAGACGTTTAGGGATTGTGGAATAGTTGTATGCCTGGGTTTGTATTTTTGCCTCACAGCAGCTCACAAACCAGATTGAGAACTGAAAAGAATAAATGCATTACTCGTATTTTGTGCATTTCAATCAGTTTTCAAGATGTATAAGCTATTATCTGGATTCTTGAGGGCCAGTCCTGAGATGCCAGCTGTCAGTATTCAATATTATTTAAAAAATGGAACGAACAAATGAGAAGAAATGATTCTGTGATGGAATGGCCTGTTCATTTGTCTGCACACTCAAAGAAGAGGCTAATGCCTGCTCAGCACAGTTCACACAGCATTAGGCGGAGCTCAGAGTCAGATCTGCTCGAACACTGGGCCTCATGTGTACTAATGTGGAGTGAATATGCAGCTTGTGCTCCACTCACCCACACTAACCCTTTCACTAACAGTCTAACACTGCTAAGACTAGGGCATCTCTTTCAGTGGTTTGATCAAACTTAACAGTGTAAAGCCCCCACATCTAAATGGTTAGGGCTCACACTAACATCTATCTCCCTCTGCTCCCTCTCTCTCCCCTGTCACCCACTCAGTCTCGCTCACTCTAATTGGTTCATGCATTCTTTCTTTCCATCCATCTATGGCTCCCAGCCAATGAGGCGACAGAATTGGATTTCTGCTTGATAAAGCACTTCCTTTGGTTGTCGTGGAGACAGAGAGGTGAGGGAGGACCTTCCCCGCCACAGGCTCACACCGTACAAGAACAAGGGGGACCGTACACCACAAATAAACTTACAATTACTGTATTTAAAGAAGACATACTGTGCTTGAGCCTGCTATATAGTTATAATCTAGGACACCCATGGATCATTGTTATAATTTGCACATTTTAAATGCAATATTAGTCTTAAACAACTTAATAAAAGAAACAAGTCTGCTGACTTTAACACTAGAAAATGTGGTTCCCAGTGGGAGCTGACATCGCTGTAAACATCACAACAAAGAGCTGTGAAGTGGCTGGCGCCTCCTATGGATAGCTGCAGATCATGCTGGCAAGAAGATTTTTTTTCATTACTACACTATGTTGCTGAACCCTACACATATCACTAATTAAGAAAAGAAAAATTGGAGAACGAAAAAGTACAGAGCAGTAGGCGTATGCCGGTGGCAGGAAAAAACGTGGACCAATCAGCAATATGGTCCACTTGAAAATAAACTTGTTCAAACTTGTACAAATCACTCCAAATACAGCTTCATGAAGGTAGATGAGAAGGGAAAACAACTGTAACATGGTTAAAAGCTCAGAAAAGTCGATTTAGCAGAATAGGTCCGCTTTAAACTTTCACATGTCACAGTCTCTCAGTATTGTTAAACATTTGCAGGTCTGGACAAAGTGCTACACTTTGAGAAGCTGAACTGATGAAGACTGATGGCTTTTGCCTGTTTCAGCACTTTCTAAATACACTTTC